CCTTAGCAAAGCGCATCCCAGGCTGCATAGCCGCACTACCCTACCCAACCATACCACACATAAACATGACACTACCCCCGGGGTTTACACAGACGAGCCGGCGAAGCAAGAAGAGCGCCAGAAGAAAGGGCCCTAGCCGGCGGGGCCCAGCCAGGACAAAAGGAGGTCCCACAAAGCGCCTACACCGGCCGCATTTGCGGTCGGGGTAGACGACGGATGGGGCCCACCTACGAAGGCTGTCCAGGCCTACACGAGATGAGGCAGGATAAAGAGGGATAATCCCCCTCGATCCCAAATCATTGAGGCCAATTTCTAGCCATGGAATAATGGCGCGCGAAGTTGCGTATCAAAACAATCTCAATGCTGTTAGATAGCCTATGCCGTATCTAGTACTAGAAGATCGATGGGATTTGCCCAAGGATTTTATACAATTTTACACACACACATTTTATACAATTTTTATACAAGGATTTTTTATTGTATAAAATCCTTGGGATTTGCCCCTGAATCCTCAACTAAATGCGCTGCCATTTCCAATATCGCCAATAGTGCCAGCACTGCCAACTGTCAATGAATGTTGTCATAAGATAAGGTTAAGTTAAGTTAGAAGTGGCGACTTTGCGCTTTGTATTTTTGTCTCTGCGTTATATTTTCTGTTTACATTTAAAAAAAGATTGTTGCAGAGCAATGACTGATGTTAAGGAAACGTCCTGTAGGCTTTGCCTTAAAAATATAACCGATGAAAGTTTTGAAGTGATAAACGACATTATCAAAGACATTCTAGATGTTCTTTTGCTGAAATTGGTAAGTCATTGAAATATAATTAGCTCGAATGTAAATTAATTTTTAGTATTTTAATTGCTATTTTCCGCCACAGTTATTTTCTTTCAGTTTGAAGATGCATATTTTTCAGAAATTTGATAGCGAGAGCAAAGAGGTTATATGTAACGTTTGCAGAAGAAAGTTAAATGCGGCGTTAGAATTTAAGTCGACGTGTTTGAATACCGATAACACAATTATTCCTTATGTGGATAGCGAAAAAATGTTACAGCTCGACTTAAGAGAAGTGTACAAGCAGGAAAAGAAAATTGAATTAGTTTTCAGTCAGAAAATATGTCGATTGTGTATGCACCCAGTAGAAAGTGAATTTAGGTGCATACGTGAAGAGGAACTTGAAGCTATTCAGAAATTGACACCTGAAATGGTAGGAACAATATTAGATACTTGCATATTTTGTAATTTAACAAAACTGCTTTGTAGAATATAAATATCATCAAAGGTCCCGTTGTATGTAAGCCATGCTGGGATTCTCTGTGTACTCACAACAGTTTCCTGAAAGATTGCTTAGAGGTAGGGGAAAACGTTAAAAGTATTTTTAATAGTTCAGCCACAAGAAGTCAAATAGATACGTCTCCACTTGATTTATTCGTTAAGACTGAAAACCTGGACAAGGAATTCGTTATTAACGAGATGGAAATGTCAACCAAAGCTGAAAGTATCGACATAAAATCGGAAGATGAGGAAAGTAGGTAAGAGAAGACTATTTTAACATTAATTTAAAAAATGACAGCCGGTGGTTCTGATATTTCGTGATTTATATGATTAAATATATGATATATAAATCTGGTGATAAACTAATTGTAACAAATTATGAGATTGTCCGTTATAAACGATATCGTACAAATTTTTATATAATCGTTAAGCGTTAGGTTAACAAATTATTGGAAAAATATGTAAGATCATTATAAAACAATCGTATGGCTTCGAATCATACATGGGTACAAAGAATGCTACACTAAATTCCATTCATTCAATCAATTTTTTAACTTTGGGCAGAAATTCTAATTTTCTCGAATGAAAAGGATAGATCTTTTACGGAGTTACAGAATAATTGGGGGTTATGTAATCAGATTGCAAGAAGAAAATCAGTGGCCTTCAGTCATTCTTACCCAAAATTAGTTTTGAAAGAATTTTGGAAGAAGGTATCGAGTTGATTCAAATAATAAAAATATCTTAAAAAAATGCTCGTCAGACAAAAAATATTTATTTATTTTTTTTGGAATATACAGAAAAGATCTTTGGATTAGTTTAAAAATACTGTTTTTCTCAGTATTAAAGCTCATGAAAATGATTTGTGAGTTATAGAACTCGGTAAGTATCCGAGATTTGAGGAAGGAAATGCAGCGACTTTTAAATTAACGTTTGCACTCAAAAAAAAAAAGGACAACTGACAACTGTGTAGCATTGTGAATATTGTAAATAATATATTTCAGAAAATTTCCAAAAAAGAATTTAATTTCCATTTTTTCTTTTTTTTTTTCATGACATTTTTTGATGAAGAAAATATATAGGTTTTTGCGAAAAAAAATGTTCAACTTAAAAAAATTATTTAAAGATGCAAAATTTATCCCTTAATTGGCAATTCACAATGAAAGACAAATCGCAGCCGTTTGAACTTTTGACAGAAAGTAAAAAAAAACTAAAGTATCTTCAATATCAATCTCAGGTTTAACAAAATTCCTCAAATACGCAATTTTGATATCAAGTTTCTTGGATCGAAAAAATAAATTTATCAAAAAACGATAAGAACGTCTTATGGAGGATAGTGTGAAATTTTCAAAACTGCTTAGATTTTCTGTATCGCCATTAGTTCCTGAATAATTAATTATCAAAGTCAAAAAAGTTATTTTTTATTTGATTATACATAAAGGTCTTGAACAGCTCAATTCAAAGAGGATGAATTAAACTAAAAGAGCTGACAGGTGGAAATGCCAAAAAAAAAATATTGAGACCCGTGGACCTGTTGAAAGTGAAGCAAAAATTATAAAAAAAAATTCCCCCGGGATTTCTTTTGATTTCTAAAAGGTGGTCAATGATAAAAATTTTTCAGCTTAAGATCCTGAAACAACCTTCAAGCCTCAATTCACTTTTTTTATTGCCCTACGACCATTTTTCATTAAGTTGCAGCTTTTCAAAAATCACCTAAAAATTTAGGATTTTCTTTTTATTCTTTAATTTTTGTTACTAGTGTATTCTAATTTGGGATAAGGTAAAAAGCAAAAACTAAATAACGACAAACAAAAAGATATACTGGGTGTTATTATTTGATTAAAATTTAATAAATTTATTATAATGTTGATTGTATTTAAATTATCGGTATCTGACCTTATTTATGGATTTATTGTGTGACTTTATACGTAGCATCTCGCAAATGCCTTTTCTGATAATTAAATATCCAAACGATTAAAGTTAAAATTGTGCTATCAGTACTATGGTTGATTCAGTTATCGTCATAACTCCTTAAAATTAATATCTGATTTTGAAAATGCAATTTTTTCAGTGATACGCCACTTCAGACCTCCGATATTGTACCATTGGAGGAGAGTGACTGCAAAAATGAAGAAGAGGATGGATGTAAACATGAGAATGGATCAGAAGTGAACACAAAGCAGGAGCGCAAAGTATTGTATAAATGTATCTTCGAAACTGGAAGCGCGATCCGTTTTACGGCACACTGTGCGAGACATGAGAAGAATTTGAGAGCATATGGATGTGAATCCTGTGAGTACGAAACTGAAAATAAGAAATTACTTCTGAAGCATATTTTGAAGCATAAAGATTCTTTACAGATTCAAATGTACAGGTGTAACAATTGCAATTTAGAAACTAAATATAAGTGTTATATCAAACGACACCAAATGAAACATAAAGATCCATCACAGGTTCAAACGTACAGGTGTAACAACTGCGATTTCGAAACTAAATACAGGAGTCATTTCGAAAGGCATCAACTGAAACACAAAGATCCTTCGCAGGTTCAAATGTACCGGTGTAATGACTTAGATTTTGAAACTAAATACAAGCATAATATAAAACTGCATCAAAGAAAACATAAAGATCCTTCACAGGTTCAATTGTACAGGTGTCACGATTGCGATTATGAAACTGGATACAACAGTAATTTCAAACTGCATCAACTGAAACATGAAGATGCTTCGCAGGTTCAAATATACAGGTGTAATGATTGCGATTTCGAAACTAAATACAGGAGCTATCTCGAAAAGCATCAACAACTGAAACATAAAGATCCTTCGCAGGTTCAAATGTACAGGTGTCACGATTGCGATTATGAAACTAAATACAAGAGTAATATCAAACCGCATCAACTGAAACATAAAGATCCTTCACAGGTTCAAATGTACAGGTGTAACGACTGCGATTTCGAAACTAAATACAGGAGCTGTCTCGAAAAGCATCAACTGAAACATAAAGATCCCTCGCAGGTTCAAATGTACAGGTGTCATGACTGCGATTATGAAACTAAATACAAGAGTAATATCAAACCGCATCAACTGAATCATAAAGATCCTTCGCAGGTTCAAATGTACAGGTGTCACGATTGCGATTATGAAACTAGAAACAAGAGTCATTTCAAACAGCATCAACTGAAACATAAAGATCCCTCGCAGGTTCAAATGTACAGGTGTCATGACTGCGATTATGAAACTAAATACAAGAGTAATATCAAACCGCATCAACTGAAACATAAAGATCCTTCGCAGGTTCAAATGTACAGGTGTAACGATTGCGATTATGAAACTCCATTCAAGAGTTATTTCAAACAGCATCAACTGAAACATAAAGATCCTTCGCAGGTTCAAATGTACAGGTGTATCAATTGCGATTATGAAACTAAATACAAAAATGCTTTCAAACTGCATCAACAACTGAAACATAGAGATCCTTCGCGGGTTTAAATGTCCAGGTATAACGATTGCGATTATGAAACTAAATTCTAGAGTTATTTCATACGTCATCAACTCAAACATAAAGATCATTCGTAGGTTCAAATGTACAAGTGTAACGACTGCGATTACAAAACTAGACACAACAGTAATTTCAAATAGCATCGACTGAAACATAAAGATCCTTCACAGGTTCAAATGTGCAGGCGTAATGACTGCAATTTCGAAACTAAATATAGGAGATATCTCGAAAATCATCAACTGAAACATAAAGATCCTTCGCAGGTTCAATTGTACAGGTGTAACGATTGTGATTATGAAACTAAATACAGGAGCCATTTCAAAAAGCATCAACTGAAACTCAAAGATCCTTCGCAGGTTGAAGTGTATGGGTGTAACAAGTGCGATTACAAAACTAAATACAAAAGTCTTTTAAAACAGCATCAACTGAAACATAAAGATCCCTTACAAGTTCAAGTGTGCAGTTGCAACAACTGTGATTACGAGACTAAAAACAGGAGTGATATCAAACGACACCAAGTGAAACATAAACCAACCTGAAGCATAAAAATCGTTTGCCAGTCCAAACATGCAAGTGTAATGATTGCGATTACGAAAATAAATGCAGGAGTGTTATCAAAAAGCACCAACTGAAACATAGAGACCCTTTTCAGGAGAAGATGTACAGGTGTAACGACTGCGATTGCGAAACTAAGTACAAGGATAATACAAGACAGCATCTATTGAAACATAATGATTCCTCACAGGTTCAAATGTACAAGTGTAAAAATTGCAGTTACAAGACTAAATACAAGAGTGCTATCAAACGACCCCGAATGAAACATAAAGACCATTCACACGTTCAAACGTACAGATGTAACAACTGCGAATTTGAAACTAAATACAGGAGTTATATCACACGGCACCAACTGAAGCATAAAGCTTCCTCGCAGGTTCAAATGTACAGGTGTAACAATTTTAATTACAAAACTAAATATAAGAGTGCTATGAAACGACACCAAATAAAACATAAAGATCCTTCTACGTCCAATTGTACAGATGTAAGGACTGCGATTTCGATACTAAACACAGGAGAAGTATCAAACGGCACCAACTGAGCCATAAAAATCCTTTGCCAGTAAAATTGTAACTACTGTGATTGTGAAATCAATTACAGGAGCAGTATTGAACGTCACATGTTGAAGTATAGAAGATCTTCATAAACGCAAAGGTTCCCGTGTGCTTTGCTAACAACCGAACATTAGGAGTCTTTGAGGCGATCTCAATTGATGCGCAAAAAAAAGGTTGACAGGTGTGAATTATCATCCTTCCAAATGGAGGCATTTAAGAGCGACAAGTGTGGATATCACTCCGATCGTGAATATGTGAATAGGAAGAAAACGTAACGCCTGCCTTGAATTACATCGGTTGAAACACGAAAACCTGACCGAAACGGAGGTCTACAAGGCATCTTGGACTAGTATTTGCAGAATTCGCTAATACCTAGTTATATACACACATTTTCTGTTTCTCACAATGCGACAGTCTGCTGATTAACAAACGGTTCATAACTCCGACAAGTTATATGTTAAACGAGTACATTAATTTTAGACGGCAATATTGTCAACTGTGTAAAACATGTAACTAATAGAAAGGTCTCATGTAAAATAAATATATATGATTTTTTTAATGAAAGCTGTTGAGAACTGCTGATTTCACTATTGTCCCAATTTTAATCTCTCATTCTTTAGGAGCGAATAGAACAACCAAGAATGACGGTACTTTGGTACTTTTTCACAAATTTACTTGGAACCGCCATTAAGTTCAGGATTTCAATAATAATGAATATTTTGTATTAATTCCATAGGTTCATTTAATTCCCAGTTGAATTTCAGTAAAGAGTTATCCGTTCGCTTGAGCTGAAAAACAAATCATTTACGGATTATTGTTTTTTATCCTAAAATGAGTTTCCTACACAATCGGGATAAATCGAAAATGATTCTAAAACTATTTGTTTGACAAAAAAAAGTATTGGAATGTTTTGTTACAAATACTATTTTAAATACAATCTAGGATTCATTAAAAGTCCAGAAAATTTAATGGTGTAGAAATTTCCCCGTTTACTACCAATTAGAAAATTTAAAGTTTCTGCTCCATCGTTCTTTTCTTGTTAACGTTTACTGTTTGGGCTAATTCTTAAATTAATTATTTTTATTTGCAAAATAAATTTATAGGTACTAATATTCTACACTATTTAAAAATACATTTATTTTGAAAAATTTCCAGTGGCGTAAAAAGTATATTAAATGTAGGGGTTATCAGGGCTCCTTACGGAGGCCTGTGATTGATCTGTTTTCACAATAATTTGTAAAAGCGATAGAGCTTTTCATTCGTACACTTCATACTAAATATAAAACAAATGACTCATAGTTTAAGAAAAAATAAATAAAAACCAAAAAAAATTGTTTTCAAGAGCTCATAAGAAAAAGTATATATGTACTTCAAAATAACATTATTTTGATGAGATCTATCGATGGTTAAAGTCCTAATCACAAAAAGTGAATCACCCTGTATATGTATAATTACAATCTCACTCACCTGGCAGGTAAAATGTCTTTTGTTAATATCTATTTTTAGTCACAAATATTATCCTGTAAAAATTTCAAAGTGCCTCAAGAATATTTTTTTTAAAAAAAATTTTGCTTTAAAAATTTAATGGTCGCTTAAGCCCTGACAACCTTCAGCCAGGTCTGCATTTTGGTATTCAGGTATAACTGGAAGGAGTTTTAAACAGTTTTTCACAGCGCCCCAAATACCTACCCAAAAATGTCTGCCAGCTCTTGGAGTAAACAGTTCGACGGGTTTGGGAAAGAGTTTGGAATTTCAAAGAAAAAATTTCTACAGACAAAACTTTTCCCCTTATTCTAGAAGGTTCAAAGGGGTTCACAGGGTCTAACGACACTTAATAATTCAGGAAACATAACATTTGAAGATGAATTTTTCGAGACAAAACGTCTGAATCTGGTTCGGGCTGAGGCGGTACAGTATTGGGGGTCATGAAGGCTTGTAAAAACTGTAATAAAGTTTCCAGGGGTGTATTTAAAGAATGAAGTTGACGATGGTCCCGGAAAGACGATACATTACATATAAAAATTGATTGATTGATAAAAGTTGCCATGAGAATATGTTCTTCGTTTTTCAATGTCACTTCAAACGAGGCTGAAATGAAACAAAATCAAATTTCCGCGATTTCGTTTTTTTTTCAAACATTTCGAAAACTAATCACGTTAGCTTTGATTTTTTAGAGGCATAATGTTGACCCCCTGATTACGCAACTTTCCCCCATTTAAGCTGGTTCGTATCTGAGATCCCTGTAAGGAGAAGCAAATTTGTATCAACCAATCAATACCTTTATTTGCAATTATATTAGGAATAGAAGAACTGAAGCAAAACAGATGTGCATTACTTTTTTTATAGAGGGAATTGTTGAGTACTGAACTGCTGTGGTATTTACACGTTGATAGTTAAACTCATACAGGGTGATTCACTCATAATGTCATTAATTTTAAGACGGGGAAAAAAATTAGAATATGAGAATACAAAAACATTTTAAAACGCAAGTTTATGCTGAAAAAAATACTTTCTAATAATTATTTAAACCTCTTCTCGAACGGCTCCTGAATGTTGACCCACAATAACACAAAGCTTTATCGAGAGTCATTCTTGAGCTGCACACTATTGGGTCAGTAGCCTAGCTTTTAATGCGTTTTTAATCCGTAGTGAACTACAACGAATAAAGATCTTTTTATACAGACACGTGAATGAATCAGATACTTTTTTACATTTTAAATATTAACAAGTATTATTTATTCGTTAATAAAAAAATATACAAGGATAATAATTGTTTTCGAATGTTAGTTGTACAATTTAATATTTTTAATATTGCTAACGTCACTATAATTGGATACGAGTTTATAGTATGATGTTCAATATTTCTTTTCCAAGAAAAATGCCGGTACAGGTAAAAAACACTCATTCGTCCGTGGGAGTTTGTTAATAAAGTTGAGATTAGCTGCACTTTGGTTTTGAAAGCAATTGCAAAATTTAGGACGACTGGAGAAATCAACTGTTTCCCTTCAACGTTAGTTCGAACGTTGTTACCCGCTGGAGTGTTCCCGGTCAAAAAAATGTGCTGCGAAATGTTTAAATTGTAACTAAGAAATCCGGCTCGTTGCCCGTACCATGGTACGCGTGCCATGGCATGGGTCGTGTGAATATGCCTATCTATATTTTTTATAAGTTGACCGAATAGTGGAAATAAGGTCACAGTCACATAACACATAAAATATAATGGAATCTCTATGGTTTATCTTGAAGGTATTTTTGTTATGCAGCCTAAAATACACTAAATCTTAAGTTAGGTATATGTCCACCGTAGGGCGCTAATGTTGAAATTTCTGAAAAGTCCCCGCGGTATGATTGGTTGCCTAATAATAACATTATGTCAGTATGTCTACCCGATGCTGCTATGACCGCCATGAGTTCCTTTGAGGTTAAGTTTTCGTTTGTAGTGGTACGTATTTTCGTGGTGTTATATATATTTTTGTTAATTTAAAAATTATTTTTTTTTTGTTATATATGATTGTATTTTAAACTAATATATTTTTTATATTAATTTTCTTTCTTTTTTTGTTACTACAAATCTTATAAATAGTGAAATCTTGCAATATACATATGACGATTACAATTTGTACTTAACAAAATTGATGAATAAACTGGTAATCTTGCATATTATACATTACTATTTATTTGGTGTTACAAGATGAGGTCCATCAATAATTTTACCAAAAGATTCATAACATACATTCGTAAATACGGAATGGAAATGTATGGGCTCAGATTTTAAAGAAGCCTGAAACTTAAGTTAATGTATTATTTTGTTCAGTAGCAAACTATTTTCAATGTATAATTTTATGTGTATAAGTTCTATATAATTATTTTTTTTTAATTTTTTCAATTCAAATAAGAATCTCTTTCAGATTAGAAAAACCGTAAATATTCAAAGCTAATGGTGGGAAATGCAGTGGTAAAACACTTTCGAGATGAAATTTGAAATTCTGTAACTATTGAAATATTCATAACTGTTAGGCCCAGTTTTTAATTATTGGTTATCGCCATATGAGAAACTAAATAATTATCGCTAACTAGCAGTTAACCCTAACTTTATTTTCTTCTATTGAAATTAAGAACAATTTCCTCCAAAATTGAAGGTTAACTTAATCAAAAATGTATTTGTAAATTAGCTTTTAATTGTATATTACTATCACGAAATCTTCATTTGAAAAGTGTTCGTCAAGTATGTGTGATTGAAAAAACGGGCCTTATTAAAGTTATGCGACATATAGGATTATATTAGTTATGGTAATTTAAAATTTCTCTTTTATTTTATTTCTGCATTTTTCATCGTTAGTTTTGTATATTTATGGTTTTTCTAAACTCGTAAAATAAATAATTTTACCACAGAAATATATTGTCTTCTATGTGTAATAGATGGCGCTAAACTGAATAATGAAGTGACCTATAAATTGGATAAAAAGTTAGGTACATGTCCGTTGGATGGCGCTGTACGATAAATAAATTCTCCAACAAAACCTCACTACTGCAGTTTCCATTATATTTTAAGTGTTATATGGCGCTAGTCGTAAAGTCGTAATATTTTTAAAACTGATTTCCTTCGTTTATTGAAAATGTTTAGGCATTTGATATAAAATATCAATTTATAAAACAAAATGGAAAATGACAAAAATAATAAAGTTGACCTAATTATGATTTGAAAATATAAATAGACTTTATTTCCACTATTCGGTCACAATAATAAAATATAGATAGGCGTATTCACACAGTCCGTGCTATGGTATGGAATGGCTGTAGTGTGGAATGAAGGAACTGGGTCACTTCGGTCTCTCGTGTCAGTACTGAGAGCGGGATCGTTATGTTTCGCCCATCTCTATTCCTAACCACAACCCACAATCAGATGCTCTGTCAATGCCAATAGTGCCAACTGGCAATGCTGTTCTAAGAAGGTTAGAAGTGACGGCATTTTATACTTTGTGTTCTGTTTATATTTAAAAGATTGTTGCAGAGCAGTGACTGATGTTAAGGAAACGTCGTGTAGGATTTGCCCCTGAATCCTCAACCAAATGCGCTGCCAATGCCAATATCGCACCGCCAATCGCTAATAGTGTTAATGTTGATAAGATAAGAAGGTTAATAAGTTAGAAGTGGCGACTTTGCGCTTTGTATTTTTGTCTCTGCGTTATATTTTCTGTTTACATTTAAAAAAAGATTGTTGCAGAGCAATGACTGATGTTAAGGAAACGTCCTGTAGGCTTTGCCTTAAAAATATAACCGATGAAAGTTTTGAAGTGATAAACGACATTATCAAAGACATTCTAGATGTTCTTTTGCTGAAATTGGTAAGTCATTGAAATATAATTAGCTCGAATGTAAATTAATTTTTAGTATTTTAATTGTTATTTTCCGCCACAGTTATTTTCTTTCTGTTTGAAGATGCATATTTTTCAGAAATTTGATAGCGAGAGCAAAGAGGTTATATGTAACGTTTGCAGAAGAAAGTTAAATGCGGCGTTAGAATTTAAGTCGACGTGTTTGAATACCGATAACACAATTATTCCTTATGTGGATAGCGAAAAAATGTTACAGCTCGACTTACGAGAAGTGTACAAGCAGGAAAAGAAAATTGAATTAGTTTTCAGTCAGAAAATATGTCGATTGTGTATGCACCCAGTAGAAAGTGAATTTAGGTACATACGTGAAGAGGAACTTGAAGCTATTCAGAAATTGACACCTGAAATGGTAGGAACAATATTAGATACTTGCATATTTTGTAATTTAACAAAACTGCTTTGTAGAATATAAATATCATCAAAGGTCCCGTTGTATGTAAGCCATGCTGGGATTCTTTGTGTACTCACAACAGTTTCCTAAAAGATTGCTTCGCGGTAGAGGAAAACATTAAAAGTATTTTTGACAGTTCAGTCACAGGAAGTCAAATAAATACGTGTCCACTTGATTTATTCGTTAAGACTGAAAACCTGGACAAGGAATTCGATATTAACGAGATGGAAATGTCAATCAAAGCCGAAAGTATCGACATAAAATCGGAAGATGAGGAAGGAAGGTAAGAGGAGACTATTTTAACATTAATTTAAAGAAATGGCAGCCCGTGGTTCTGACATTTTGTCATTTATATGATTAAATACGTATAATCTGGTGATACAGTAATTGTAATAAATTATGAGATTGTCGGTTATATACGATATCATACTATAATCATTAAGCGTTATTTTAACAAATTGGAAAAATTTGTAAGATCCTTATAAAACAATCAGTATGACTTCGAATCAGATATGGGTACAAAGAATGCTACATTAAATTCCATTCATTCAATCAATTATCGGTCGGTAGCCGCACGGTTTAAGGCGTCAGTACTTAAATCGATGTGTGCTAATTCTGCCCGGGTTCGATTCCCGCGGCCGGTAGACCGTAGATTAGCTATGCTTGTACGGAGGATTGGCACCCTCTGTGCAGGTATGGTAGGGTGGAAGAATGTTGGCTTGGTTCAATGTGAGAGATTGACACTGGTTGGCACTTGACCACCCCCCTAATTAATGAGGTTTTCCAGGATTCCCTCATTCCTGCACTGAATGGTGGTTAGGGCCTACCAACATAAGTCGTTCCTGGGCGCAAATGCCGCCTGCTTAATAATAATGATATGCCTCCTCCTAATGAAATATGATTCATGGATTATAAAAAACGTATTTTTATGTTATGAGCGAGATTGATAATATTTTTGATAAAATAGAACTACAAAATACAGCAACCCGCCATGATAGGTTAAACACCATTCAGAACAAATTACGTCACATCTACGTAAATGTCATTTTGTGTCACTTGTACTTTGACAATATCTGCAGTATTTGTCTTCGTTTAAATATTTTGTATTTCCTAACTATTAGTTGCTTAGTTTTGTGTTACCCAAACCGTAATTAGGAAACGTTAGGTACTTGAAAAGTTTCTAAAAGAAGGAAAGAAAAGAAAGCTCAACAACTGCGAGTTAATAAAATATCAAAAAGACTATGTTTGTGGTCAAAAGTTTATCCACGCATAAATTGGTGCTGAAATACAAAGAACAATCCTGCGACATATTTTTGAAGAAACTCGTATTGACATGAAGATGACATGAAAGTTGAAGAAGAGACGAGACCAACATCAAAGCTGTTTTTGGCATGAGTTAAGATATGGCAGAGTGACGGCCTCACGAGCGTTTGAATTTAGTCGGTGTAAAACCAATGACGCAACTCTGATCACGTTAATAATGGGAGGAAAAATCTCAGATGCATCGGCCGTAAAACGCGATATAATGTTGGAGGATGAAGTGAGGAAAACTGTAAGTGCCAGTTTGGGGAAAAAATTTAAAAAATGTGGTATAATACTTTGCAAAAATGATCTCACAATAGCAGGGTCGCCTGATGGAATCTGTGAAGACAGCATTATTGAAATTAAATGTACCACGAATATGAATTTTTAAAAATTATGTGGATAAAGGAAAACCGACCCAGAAGTTTTATGTACAGATGGCAGCTGCAAATGTATTTCAGAAGGGCTGTTTCGGTGTAGCTGATTGCAACTACAGTACAAATAAAAAAGTAGAAATAATTAATGTTACATTTGATGACAACTATGTATCAGATATTCTTAATGTTTTAGTCTCTTCATGGAAAGATAATGTGTATCCATTGTTATACCAAAGTACAATTTAAGGGTAAATAAAATGCATATACTGTTATGGTAACTTTGTATTTTTATCTAACTAATTAATCTTGCAACACAAAATATTAGCACCTTATGTTTATTGTTGACAAACGTGAAATATTATCGTTTCAGAACTCATGAAAGAGGCTTTGAAATGGATACATCACTGGTGTAAGGGGCAGGCACTGTCAGTAAACCCTGACAAAACGGTTGTAGTACCCTTCATCAGGAGAAGGAATTTAATTGGACTCTCTGAACCTATAATAGGGGAGAGAGCATTGGGCTTTCCAGGGAGGTAAAATATCTAGGAGTGATACTGGATAATAAGCTTACCTGGAATGCACACTTGGAAAAAGTAGCGAGTAAGGCGAAGCAGACACTTGTGTATGTCGTCGCCTTATTGGGAGCACCTGGGGACTGAAACCAAAGATGTCACACTGGTTGTATACGTCGATAGTAAGACCCAGGATTCTTTACGGCGCGGTGGTATGGTGGCAGAAAACACAACAGACCACAGCGAAGGAAAAACTGAATAGAATTCAGAGATTGGCCTGTTTAGGTATAACGGGGGCGATGGCATCGACCCCGACAGCTGCACTAGAAGTCATGCTAAATCTGCCACCGCTGCATATAGTGGTGGAGAGAGAAGCGCGGCTAGCAGCATATCGACTCAGGAATAATAATGACTGGAGGGGTGGTTCCCACTCCAGGATCAAAGATACATCTATGTCGGAACCAATTCTTGGGATGGTATCCGACAAGATGGTTCCAAAGTTTCACTTCCACAAGCCATTTGAGACTCGAATAGAGGATCAAAGCGAGTGGGAGGAAAGGTTTAATACCCTGGAAAGGTGGAGCCTAGTATGGTTTACAGATGGCTCCAAAATGACCAGAGGGACGGGTGCAGGAATATATGGACTCAGACCCAGATGGAGTGCAAGCTACAGTCTGGGGGAGTTCCCTACTGTATTCCAAGCAGAAATCTTCGCAATAATGGCGTGTCTGGCAGAGAATGTACGTAGAGGTTATAGACGTAAACTCATATATATATTCTCTGATAGTCAAGCTGCAATTAAAGCTTTAGCCGCACACAAGGTAAGTTCAAAACTGGTGTGGGACTGTTTACAAATGCTAACTGAACTGGCCACCAACAATACAGTCAGACTGTGTTGGGTGCCAGGGCACAAAGGCATTTGTGGAAATGAGAAAGCGGATGAACTTGCGAGGAAGGGATCCGAAACAGTGTTCATTGGCCCGGAGCCCTTCTGTGGCACATCTCCCAGTGTGGTCAGGCGGGCTATGGGCAAATGGACAGAGACAGAACATAGGAAATACTGGACTTCAAGGCCAGGACATAGCCATTCCAAGGAGCTTATGGAGTATCCTTCGAATGGAAGAGCGATTGAGTTACTGAGCTTGAATAGAATCCGGCTCAGGAGAGTGACAGGACTCATAACGGGACACTGTCACTTTAAGAAACATCTACATAGACTAAAGCTTGTAGACAGTCCGGTCTGCCGAGGATGTGAATCGGCGGATGAAACTTCTCTGCATATCCTGGGCGAGTGCCCGGGATTTGCACGTAGCAGAATGGCGCTCCTTGGGAGACCCTATTTGGAACCCAAGGAACTGAGAGAAGTGTCAGCAAGGAAGCTTTTGGACTTTGTAAAAAGGACAAATCTACTTGCTGAATAGGACTAGTAGTGGGACGCACAATAGGCCTAATTAGGCCGCAGTGCTATGGGACTTATTAGGACCAACCACTAGAAGTAGAAGTAGAACTAGAAGTAGAACATAGATGCGACGTCACGTAGATGCCATAACACCGGCGATCGTATTTGCGTGAGTTTAGACTTAAAATTAAAATGTCAATATTTTTCTACTAAACCTTTTATTTTCTGTAGAAATAAGATATATTTTGGAAATGGTAAATACTTCCGAACATCATAGAACAGTTTTTCAAAATCTGTCATCATGCCTATTGTAGATCGTATTTCAATTATCTAAGTTTGTTTATGGATTTATTGTGTGACTTTATACCTACCATTTTGCAAATGCCTTTTCTTATAATTAAATACATTATCAAAGATCTGAATCGATTCACCATTAAAATTAAAATTGTGCTATCAGTACTATTAATTAAATAATAATTAAAATTAATACCTGATTTTCAAAACTACTCTATACATGCAATTTTTTCAGCGACACGCCGCTTCAGACCTCCGATATTGTACCATTCAAGGAGAGTGACTGTAAAAATGAAGAAGAGGATGGATGTAAACATGAGAATAGATCAGCAGTGAAAACAACGCAGGAGCACAAAGTATTGTACAAATGTGATAAATGTATCTACGAAACTGAAAGTGAGATCCATTTTACGGCACACTGCGCGAGACATGAGAAGAATTTGAGAGCATATGGATGTGAATCGTGTGAGTACGAAACTGAAAATAAGAAATTACTTCAGAAGCACCTATTGAGGCATAAAGACCCTTCACAGGTTCAAATGTACAGGTGTAACGACTGCGATTTCGAAAGTAAATACAAGTTCAGTATCATAAAGCATCAACTGAAACATAAAGATCCTTCGCAGGTTCAAATGTACCAGTGTAGTGACTGCAATTTTGAAACTAAATACAAGAATAATATTAAACTGCATCAAAGGAAACATAAAGATCCTTCACAGGTTGAAATGTACAGGTGTCACGATTGCGATTATGAAACTGGCTATATCAATAATTTCAAACAGCATCAACTGAAACATAAAGACCCTTCACCGGTTCAAATGTACAGGTGTAACGACTGCGATTTCAAAACTAAATACAGGAGCCATTTGGAAAGGCATCAACTGAAACATAGAGATCCTTCGCAGGTTCAAATGTACAGGTGTAACGATTGCGATTATACAAATATACGCAAGAGTGTTATCAAAAAGCACCAACTGAAACATAGAGATCCTTCGCAGGTTCAAATGTACAGGTGTAACGACTGCGATTTCAAAACTAAATACAAGAATGTTTTCAAATTGCATCAACCGAAACATGAAGATCCTTCTCAGGTTCAAATGTACAGGTGTAACTACTGCGATTACAAAACTAGAGATAACAGTAATTTCAAACGGCATCAACTGAAACATGAAGATCCCTCACAGGTTCAAATGTACAGGTGTAACAACTGTGATTACGAAACTAAATACAGGAGTGCTATCAAACGACACCAAATGAAATATAAAGATCCTTCTCAAGTCCAGACATACAACTGTAACAACTGGCCCTTCGAAAGTAAATACAAGAATCATTCGTAACGTCATCACCTGAAACAAACATGCTGTGCAAGTTCTAAAAGTAATAGTGTAATGACTGCGATTACGAATCCAAATACAGGAGTGGTATAAAATATCACGTGTTGAAGTATAGAAAGCCTTCAAGAGTGCAAAGAAGTTTTTGAGGAAACATTGAAGTGCCTCCCATGGAGCACAGTTAAAAATTGGGGCATTTTAGAGACTGACTATAAATATTTTAACTGAAGCAAAATGTAAAGCCTATCTTGAAAAATATCAAAAAGTTTACATGTGCTTCTGATGTATTAATTTGGAATAATTTAGATACATTGTAATATGCCTTAGGGGGTGGCGAGCAGGGCAATCGCCCGTGGCCTCGCTCATTCAGGGGCCTTGCGCAAGAGCCCGAGCAAAAAAAGTTTGTATTTAAAACTATTTTATCCTTAGCTATTAATAATTAATTAATTAATTAATAAAATAAAGTTGGTTCATTCATAGTAAGTATTTAATAATTAATAAGTGGTAATAGCTGTCTAAATAAAATTTCTCATTTAGATTTATTTATGGTTGGCGTTTTATAAACGAGAAATTTCATATTTACCACATAACAATAGGTGTAAAGATTTCTTTTATCGGTTACTACATATTCGCAAGACATCTGGCCGCCAGAGCCGCATTAAGCAAAATTAGCGCAATGAGCAACAGTCAGATAATTTAAACAAATGCACAAAAAGTATTCATAATAAACTAGGACATTGTAAATTTCTCAAGTATGTTATTGTAATACTAATATATTTATTTATTATTTTTTTTTGATACTGGCAATTTCGAATCCTGTCCTGTAAAAAGTAAAGTAATAGATAGCTTCAAAAACACTCGCTTATCTTGGTTTGAATGCGTGAACTTGTGCATTTTTTTCATGATTTTTATAAAAGTAATCCCGCTGAAGCAAATAGGACCGTCTGTAATAACTACCATTATCTATGCCGTAAGAAAGTATCAGAATCTATGGTAAAGTTTAACGATAATTTGATAATTTTGAGAGGAGTCATGATAATCCGCAAAAAAGCAACGTGGAACATTATAAATAGTCTTAAAATTGAACCTAGCCCTACTTTTTCTATTGTTACAGACGAAGAATTTAACAGCTTCTCTGTCGATATAGCCGATAATACCTTAATTAATTTAAGTACTTGTAATCTGCAATTTACGGAATACCTGCATTGTAGGGATGGAGAAAATAAGTTTCAATTTCTGGAGGTAACACCCTGGGAAGTAGCCAATGTCATTATGACTTTAAAAAATGTGTAGATGTTTATCACCTAAATTCGCAAATAGTGGAAAGTATAATGAATTCAATACTAATCCCAATTACCAACTTAATTAACCTTAGTAACAAGTCAACTATTTTTCCAGACTCTAAAAATTGCTAGAGTAGTACCGATATATGAAAAGAATAACGTAAATGATCCTTCCAATTTTAGACCCATGTCCATAATTCCATATTTTGCAAAAATTTATGAGTATATATTTAAAATACATATTACCAATTATTTTGACACCCACGGTATTGTGAATTCGAATCAGTATGGTTTTCGCAATGGCTGCTGTACCACACTGGCTATAAACAAACTTGTTTCATATATTAATGAAGGTTTTGAAAATGGTGAATACACAGTTGTTAGACTTGACAAAAGCATTTGTGTATCTCATAATATTCTTATTAAAAAGCTACAATTTTAAGGGTTTACCGAGGACAGTATACAGATGTTGAGTTCTTACTTGACAGATAGGCGGCAGTTAGTGAGTTACAATAATGTAAAATCCTACTTGAAAACTGTTAAACACGGAGTACCTCAGGGATCAATACTGGGGCCCATACTATTTTTAACCCATATTAATGTCCTACTTAACTCGTTGCATAACGATGTTCTGGGAATTTTGTTTGCTTATGAAACATGTCTGTCATTAAGAAGTAAAATACTTTTAGATTTAATTAATACAATCTTACAAGTGATTTTAGCCATATTTAACTTATTGTTCTTTCATAATTGTGTTACTTTTATATTATTTTTGTATGTATTTTAATATATATATTTTTATCTCATTTTAAACCTTTTACTTGTATTATTGTACGGTCCTTATATGATATTTTTACTTTGTCTGTATACTGTTATGTTTTGTCTTATACACTCCTACATGTTTTCCAATAATTATGTTATATTAATATGATGTACTTAGTGGAATAATTTCCTGGTTTCGACTTGTGTAAACACTTATATTAGATAAACATTTATGACCAAACAACATTGCCGTCATTTTTTATTGCTGGCCCAGGCAATAATTTCTCTTTGCTACGTATGTACCTAAAATAATAAAAAATGGAAGATAAAATACAAAAATAAATAAAAAAATACAATTTAATTATTTAAATTCGATGGGTTCAAATCTGGACAACCTGGAAGCCGCGCGATAGGGTTTTTAAATTCTATTTATATTCTTGGATACTATCCGTTTCGTCACCGAAATTCATCACTTTATTGGAATTCTTTTTAACTGATATTCTTGTTCTGAAAAGCTAAAAGTAAAAAAAAATACAATTAAAAAAATATAGATTTTTTGACGCTCTTGTAACAGTTTCTTCTGTTTATTTTACACTCCTAATACTATTTTATAATAACTCGATTGTTCTGTGATCTTCTGCTAAGAAATGTCTAAATATACAGAATCCAAAATCAAATTCAAATTTTCGTACAAGATCAAAATCGGTGCTGAATAATTTTTTAATAGCAAAATGTTTTCAAAGAGCGCAATGTGACCAAAAGATAAATATGAGATATTTTTCACCTTGTACATAACCCTTAACGGTAATAATTGAAGAAGTTGGTCTGAATTGATAGAAAAATTAAACCAATAATAGAGAAGACATTAGATTATACAGGGTGTTACAAATTCGCTTCCCACTACACGGATATCGGAAACGATAAGAAATACGAACTAGCTTAAATGGGGGCAAAGTTGCGTAATCAGGGAACTAATATTATGCCTCTAAAAAATCAATCATGATTTATTTTCGGTTTTTTTCAAATATTTCAAAAACTAAATCATGTTACCCTTGATTTTTTAGAGGCATAATGTTAGCCCCCTGATTACGCAACTTTACCCCTTTTAAGCTAATTCGTATCTCTTATCGTTTTCTATATCCGTGTAGTGGGAAGCGAATTTGAAATTAATTTTAAGGAGACGGGAAAAAATGAGTAGAATATGAGAACACAAAAACATGTTAAAATGCGTAGTTATGCCGAAAAAAAATACTTTCCAATAATTATTTGAACCTCTTCAAACGGCTTCTGACCGCTGACCCACAAAGGTACCACAAAATATTCGGTCAGTAGCCTAGCTTTTAATGCGTTTTTAATCCGTAGTGAACTACAACGAATAAACAGAACTTTTTATCTAGACACGTGAAAAATGAGATGCTTTTTTACATTTTAATTATTAACAAGTATTTATTTGTTAATAAAAACAAATATCTAAGGATAATAATTGTTTTCGAATGTCAGGTTATTACAATTTAGTATTTTTAATATCGTTAACGTTTTAACTATAATTGAATACAAGTTAGTATTATGTTCAATATTTCTTTTCAAAGAGTAGTATCTACCTATTTAAAATGCTATACGGCTAAAACAACACTCATTCGTCCGTAGCAGCTTGTTAATAAAGTTGGGATTAGCTGCACTTTGGCTTTGAAAGCAATTGCAAAATTTAGGACGACTGGAAAAATCAACCGTTTCTCTTTAACGTTCGTTCGAACGTTGTTACCCGCTGGCGCGTTCCCGGTCAAAAAAATGTGCTGCGAAGTGGGACGACGAATTAGCGAGAGTTGAGGGGTCGAGTAAAATTTCTATTCGATTTTCTATTTTTGTGGTTAAAACTAACGACATCACTGACTGCATCAGTATGTTTAAATTGTAACTAAGAAATCCGGCTCGTGGCCCGTACCACGGTACGCGTGCCATGGCATGGGTCGTGTGAATATGCCTATCTATATTTTTTATAAGGTGACCGAATAGTGGAAATAAGGTCTGCTTGTATACATTCTTGCGCCAGTCGTATCAATATTTTTAAAACTGATTTCCTTCGTTTATTGAAAATTTTTACGCATTTGATATAAAATATCAATTTATAAAACAAAATGGAAAGTAATAAAGTTAACCTAATTATAATTAAAATATAAATAAGCAGACTTTATTTCCACTATTCGGTCGCAATAATAATCTATATATAGGCGTATTCACACAACCCGCGCTATGACATGGGCCATGGAATGGCTGTCGTGTGGAATGACTCTATGAAGGAGGTGTCACTCGTGTCAGTACGGAGAACGGGATCGTCATGTTTCGCCCATCTCTATTCCTAACCACAACCCACAACCGCGCCATTATTCTATGGCTACGCGCCATTATTCTATGGCTAGAAATTGGCCTCAATGATTTGGGATCGAGGGGGATTATCCCTCTTTATCCTGCCTCATCTCGTGTAGGCCTGGACAGCCTTCGTAGGTGGGCCCCATCCGTCGTCTACCCCGACCGCAAATGCGGCCGGTGTAGGCGCTTTGTGGGACCTCCTTTTGTCCTGGCTGGGCCCCGCCGGCTAGGGCCCTTTCTTCTGGCGCTCTTCTTGCTTCGCCGGCTCGTCTGTGTAAACCCCGGGGGTAGTGTCATGTTTATGTGTGGTATGGTTGGGTAGGGTAGTGCGGCTATGCAGCCTGGGATGCGCTTTGCTAAGGTGGCCCTTGGGCTAGCGCGGGAGGGGAGGGTTAAGGAGGGTATGGGGGGTGTGTATGTGTGTGTGTGTGTCGTTGTCTTCGTTTCTTGATCCTGGCTGTCTCTGAAACAGAAAAGGTTAGCGGGCAGGGGGGGGGGGTCATTGGGGTGGTCACCCAGGGTCAAAAAGTTGGTGTCTAGGTCTTTTGTGTTTGTCGGTCACGTCGGGTACGTAGTCAACGGCTTGCCTGAGGAGGGGATTGTCATGTCTAGCGGCTACGTCAAATCGTTTCTCCGCGTTTTGTCTTATTGTCTGTGTAGCGTTTGTGTATTGTAAGTCTCGTAATATGTCAGTGTTTCTTACGTACCAGGGCGCGTCGGTGGCCGTGCGGAGGGCTATGTTTTCCACAGCCTGTAATGACTTTAAGTGGCTTTTTGCCGCGTGACCCCACGCCGTGGAGGCGTAGGTTAGCTGCGGTTGAAGTACCACCTTGATAAGCGTTCGCTTATTCCTTAAACTGAGGGTGTTTCCACCTTTGAGTAAGGGATAGAGCCTAGCCCTGGTGGTCTTCGCTCGCGCCACCGTCTCCACGATGTGCGGTTTCCACGTGAGACGCTGGTCCATCGTCACGCCCAGGTATCGTGTTTGTCGATTCCAGGAGATAGGTTCTTGGGATAGTGTCAGTATGTCGAGGTTTTGTGGGATTTTTCGTTTGGTAAAAAGGATAGCCGAACTTTTGTTGGGATTAATTTTGACTTTCCACCTGTTGCACCAGGTTTCAAGTTGGTCTAAGGAGTTTTGGAGGAGGGAGACGGAATATCTAGGATCTACGGAACCCACAACCACATCTATCCGTATGTGCCCACAACCAGATGCTCTGTCAAAGCCAATAGTGACAACTGGCAATGCTGTCCTAAGAAGGTTAGAAGTGACGGCATTTTAGTTACTTTCGATTTGCATGAAATCCTCAGTTCCTCACCTCAGTTAGATATTTCTCAGTTCCTGGGGCGTTCGATTTGACAACAACTGAGGAAATATATCTGAGGATTTTACCTCCCCCCTTACCCCTACTGAGTGACCCTTCGATTCACATCAGTATTGAGAATTTTCCCTCACTTCAAATTTCGAGGTTATGTTTGTTGTAAACTAAAGTTTTACACCGGATTTTCGAATTCTTCAGAAACAGATGGCTTATCAAATAATTAGAAATCAATCCGGATGGATCTTAAATGATGAAGGCCAGGTATTGGTGAAAGATGTAGGTAAGTATCTTGGTGCGGCGTTATTGGTATTATGAATAAATTAATAAGCGATTAGTACCTAATAGGTGTAATGATTGACACTATTTGAATTATCATTTACAGAGCGCCAAGATGATATCTGGGTGGATAATAATATAATTTATTTTAATGGATTTAATGAACCATGCATTAAAATTAAAGAGGGGCGGCAAGAATTGGAACACATTTTAACATTCTTATGGATTGATTCAGAATCTGTCAATGAAGATGCAGTTCTGAATAATGTTGAAGCTAAAAGTTCGGATAATACAGAAAATTTAAGTCCTCATAAAACTACATGGACTTATGAGTCTACAATGGCTCTGATTACATCGGTTGAGTCGAGATATGAAGACTTATTTCATGTTCATAAAAAGAAAACTTTTTGGAATGTAATTCATGAGGAGCTGCTGAGCCAAGGACTCAATGTAATTGCTTACAATTTTTTGTTGACAATATTAACTGTTGGTTATTTTTCAGTTTCCACCAAAAACATGCCAAAAAAAATGGGAGAACTTAGTTAGAACTTATAAAAGTTCAAAAGATCTGAAAACTAAGACAGGTCGTGGTCCTACTAAATTTATGTTTTTCAATAGAATGGATGAAATATTAGGCGATACACCAACAAATTCAAGTCCACATTCGATTGACGTATGTAATATTTCCCAAGTAGAAAGCACACATCAGGATTCTAATAGTAATGTGATTGAAGAATGTACACCGTCAATAGGTAAGAGAAAAAGGCAAACCGCTACCATGCAATATATAACAATGAAAAAAAGATATTTTGAGGCAAAGGAAAAGGAAAATGCAGAGAAAAGTGAAAGAAAAATGAGCTACCTGGAAGAAATGGTAACCTTAAAGAAAGTAAGAAACGAACTGACAAGAAAGAAATTAGAATTAGAAGAAAGAAAAGTTGTTGCTCTTGAGAGACTTGCATTCACAACTGCGACTGATTAACATGTTTCATATTTATTGTTTATATATTTATTATTATTTCATTAGATTTGTTTTAAAAGGTACCTATGTGCCAGTGCCAAAAATATAAAAAGTGATGTCATTTCGACATGTGAACCTGCTCGGCGAGTAATGCGATTCCTTATGGGCATCGGGCAAATTACATTTCTCGCATACCTTACCCATTGTGTGAGTCCATATCTTGAAATAATGTCAAGTTCTTTATTTTTGGCACCGAGGTATTTATGTGTAAGTTTTATTTTGTTCTATAAAGAAAAACTATTTTTATTTTCTTAATTAGTTTTATTGTGTCATAAACATTTTGCTAAAAACTTGTTCCCTTCTTGAAGAATTATTGAACTGTTGCTCGTTACGTTCTTCATTGTCATCTGTATGAGGTTCATATTCTAAGGGTAATATATCTTCAAAATTAATGCATAGATTATGTAGAACTGTTGCTGCAACAACACATTTTACAATAAGTAAAATATCTGAATTTTCAAAAAATTTCAGTCTCCTGAATCGGCCTTTCAACAGACCAAATGCGTGTTCTATAACAACACGAGTAGATGAATGGCGATTATTAAATGTTTTTTCATTTAACGTTAAATTTCCATTATCTTTAAATGGTGGAACCAACCAATTTAAGGAAGGGTACGCTGAATCTCCCAATAAAAAGTTATCTTCTAGTCTTTCCGTATTACCCCTTTCATATAACGATGATTTCTTCAATAATCTGGAATCGTGCATGGAACCAGCCTCTCCACAAAACACATCTATAAATCTTTTATCACAATCACAGACAGCTTGCAACAATATACTGTAATACCCATTTCTATTATAATACACATATGCATGTCTGGTTTGTGGTTTTTTAATTTGTATATGACAGCCATCTACGGCTCCAATGATTCCATCAATTCCCGATTTTTCTTTAAAATTTTTAATTATATCTAGCTTCCTTCTACCACTTGGCCAAAAAATGTAATTTTGACTCTTGTTAACCAAAAAATTTACCACTTTCATTATTATTCCATGTGCAGAACTCTTAGAAACACCAAACCGATCAGAAATTTGTCTGAACGTTTCTGTATTGGCTAGGTACCAAAGTGTCATATAAGTGGCTTTTTCCGGTGATATATTTTCTCTGCCACATTTATATGAACTCAAAACATTGCGAGTGTTTAACAAATCTAGAATAATATAGATTAATCATATCATTCTTAAATAACTTGCAAATATTACCAATAACAAAATTACATGTTGTTTTTTCCAACCTAAAATGCTCCTTAAACTGCATGTTGTCATATTTTTTTGTTATATTAACAAAATTGGTAATTCGTGTCAACTTCCTTCTTTCCACTAATTCCGACGATGTATCTGTATCTTCGGAAGACAAACAAAAAAATTCACTGTCTGTGCTACTACTACTTTCATCTTCGTTTTCCAAAAATTCCTAAATTGAAATATAAATATGAATTAGTAGAAATTTTTAGAGATAATTAGGTACTACTTACACGTATCATTTTTAAATATGTTTAAAATTTCAATCCAAAACAGAATAACACTCTCCAGAGAGAGAATACCTACTTTGCTACACACCTTTTGCAACATAAACTGAAAAAGCAATAAAAAAAATAATAAATAAAAACAAATATTGAGGTTAGTAAATTTCACTCACTTGTGTCGTTCTTTTTGACTCAACGACATGTTTATCTTAAGGTGAGTGATTTATCTCACCTCAGTTATTTTCTCCTCAGTTGAACGGCAAATCGAAAGCAACTTTTGTCTTTGTGTTCTGTTTATATTTAAAAGATTGTTGCAGAGCAATGACTGATGTTAAGGAAACGTCGTGTAGGCTTTGCCCCTGAATCCTCAACTAAATGCGCTGCCAATGCCAATATCGCCAATAGTGCCAGCACTGCCAACTACCAATAGTCTTAATGTTGTAATAAGATAAGGTTAACTTAGAAGTGGCGGCTTTGTGCTTTGTATTTTTGTCTCTGCGTTATATTTTCTGTTTACATTTGAAAGAAGATTGTTGCAGAGCAATGACTGATGTTAAGGAAACGTCCTGTAGGCTTTGCCTTAAAAATATAACCGATGAAAGTTTTGAAGTGATAAACGACATTATCAAAGACATTCTAGATGTTCTTTTGCTGAAATTGGTAAGTCATTGAAATATAATTAGCTCGAATGTAAATTAATTTTTAGTATTTTAATTGTTATTTTCCGCCACAGTTATTTTCTTTCTGTTTGAAGATGCATATTTTTCAGAAATTTGATAGCGAGAGCAAAGAGGTTATATGTAACGTTTGCAGAAGAAAGTTAAATGCGGCGTTAGAATTTAAGTCGACGTGTTTGAATACCGATAACACAATTATTCCTTATGTGGATAGCGAAAAAATGTTACAGCTCGACTTACGAGAAGTGTACAAGCAGGAAAAGAAAATTGAATTAGTTTTCAGTCAGAAAATATGTCGATTGTGTATGCACCCAGTAGAAAGTGAATTTAGGTACATACGTGAAGAGGAACTTGAAGCTATTCAGAAATTGATACCTGAAATGGTAGGAACAATATTAGATACTTGCATATTTTGTAATTTAACAAAACTGCTTTGTAGAATATAAATATCATCAAAGGTCCCGTTGTATGTAAGCCATGCTGGGATTCTCTGTGTACTCACAACAGTTTCCTGAAAGATTGCTTAGAGGTAGGGGAAAACGTTAAAAGTATTTTTAATAGTTCAGCCACAAGAAGTCAAATAGATACGTCTCCACTTGATTTATTCGTTAAGACTGAAAACCTGGACAAGGAATTCGATATTAACGAGATGGAAATGTCGATTAAAGCTGAATGTGTCGACATAAAATCGGAAGATGAGGAAAGAAAGTAAGAGGAGACTATTTTAACATTAATTTAAAGAATGCCTAATTAAATGCCTACAATCTAGTGATACAGTAATTGTAATAAATGATGAAATTGTCGGTTATATACGATATCATACAAATTTTTATAATCATTAAGCGTTAGGTTAACAAATTGGAAAAATACGTAAAATCCTTATAAAACAATCAGTATGGCTTCGAATCAGATATGGGTACAAAGAATGCTACACTAAATTCCATTCATTCAACCAATTTTTTAACTTTGGACAGAAATTGAAATTTTCTTGAGTGAAAAGTATAGATCTTTTACGGAGTTACAAAATAATTGGGGGTTATGTAAGCAGATTGCAAGAAAATCAATTTGGCCTTCACTCATTCTTACCCAAAATTAATTTTGAAAGAATTTTGGAAGAAGGTGTTGAGCTGATTCAAATAATAAAAATACCTTGAAAAAATGCTCGTCAGATCGTCAAAAAATATTTATTTATTTTTTTTGGAATATACAGAAAAGATCTTTGGGTTAGTTTAAAAATACTGTTTTTCTCGGTATTAAAGCTCATTAATACGATTTGTGAGTTATAGAATTAAACTAAAAGAGCTGACGGGTGGGATTGCCAAAAAAATATTGAGACCCGTGAACCTGTTGAAAGTGAAGCAAAAATTATAAAAAAAAATCCTCCGGGATTTTTTTTTGATTTCTAAAAGGTGGTCAATGATAAAAATTTTGCAGCTTAAGATACTGAAACTAGAACCTTCAAGCCTCAATCACTTTTTTTTTATTGCCCTACGACCATTTTTCATTAAGTTACAGCCTTTCGAAAATCATCTAAAAATTTAGGATTTTCTTTTTATCCTTTAATTTTTGTGACTAACGTATTAAAATTTGTGATAACGTAAAAAGCAAAAACTAAATAACTACAAACAAAAAGAAGGCGATATACTGGGTGTTATTATTTGATTAAAATTTAATAAATTTATTATATTGTAGATTGTATTTAAATTATGAGTATCTGACCTTGTTTATGGATTTACTGTGTGACTTTATACATAGCATCTCACAAATGCCTTTTCTGATAATTAAATACATTATCAAAGATCCGAATCGATTCATCATTAAAGTTAAAATTGTGCTATCAGTACTGTGGTTGATTCAGTTATCGTCATAACTCCTTAAACTAGTGATGTGAGTGAAAATATATAACAAATTGATATATATCAATTTTTGATACATATCAGCTATTATATATATGTTAATAGCTGATATATATCAATTTTCCCGCCATTTCATATTATATATATGTTAATAGCTGATATATATCAATTTTCCCGCCATTTCATCAATAAAGCCAAATTTCAAACTTAACCTTACATTTTAAAACTAAAAACTTGTGGTGTGGTAGGCTTGGGTTGGACTGTAGTAGCTCTATGAATATAAAAATCTGAAATTTTGGGGGTGTACTATAGATGGGAAGAACTAAGAGCGCACGTAATTTCAAGTCGCCCCTTCCACCCTAGGGGGTGAGGGGTGTTTTTTTTTAGATGTACCCTATTCATTTTGCGAGTTTCGGATTGTACGCGTAAAACTACCCCCGAAAGCGCGTTCTTGCCGAATTCGCACAAAAACCAAACCACCACCCTCGTATGGACTTTGTCGTTTTTTCGATGACCATCGTTCTTGGACACAGCTTCCGTCAAAAATAAATATGGAAATCTGAAATTTTAGGGGGGGGGGACCTAAGAGCGAAAGTGATTTCAACTCGCTCTTTCCACCCAAGTAGGTGCAGAGGGGGTGAGGGGTGGTCTTTTAGACGTACCCGCAGGAACGCGTTTCCGGAGGTAGTTTTACGCGTAGAATCCGAAAATCGCAAAATAAATAGGGTACGTCTAAAAAAACCCTTCACCCCACCCCCTAGGGTGGAAGGGGCGAGTTGAAATTATGTGCGCTCTTAGGTGTTCCCATCTATAGTACACCCCTAAAATTTCAGATTTTTAAGTACTACTTTAAAGCAGTTTCTTTATTATCATAAGTTTTTGATAATTTTTATTTCAATTTTTATCTTTAATTTTTTTTAAGTACCTATTGTGATATACAAAGACTAAATTTTCTTGTTCTAGAAATTTCCCATTTTTTATTTGTGGGTTGATAAAACTAAATTGCTAATAAACAGCGTACTTGCTTATAAACAGTCATTGTATCATATTAAGTACGCAACAAAAATTAGAAGTCATTACCATCATAATTAAATGAATTTATTAATTAAAACAACAACCTATTTCAAATAGATTATTACTTTTACTATAAAGTGTCTTAATGTAAATATGATAAAAAAAATAAAAAATTCCAATCTAAATATGAAAAAAAAATAAAGATCACTTGATAACTTTTCTAACAGTTCATATATATGACATGTATTTGGTGTCAAATAAATCAGCAAGGCATTAGCAATATAAAAAAACTAATTTGAGTATAGTTTTTTTTAACAAAATTGATCTGATATATATAATGATATATATTTTGATATATATCACCTAAAACTAAATAGCATGCTATTTTACATCACTACTTAAAACTAATACCGGATTTTGAAAATACAATTTTTTCAGCGACACGCCGCTTCAGACCTCCGATATTGTACCATTCGAGGAGAGTGACTGTAAAAATGAAGACGAGGATGGATGTAAACATGAGAATGGATCAGAAGTGAAAACCAGCCAGGAGCACAAAATATTGTACAAACGTGAGATCCGTTTTACGACACACTGTGCGAGACATGAGAAGGATTTGGAAGCATATGAATGTGAATAGTATGAGTACGAAACTGAAAATAAGAAATTACTTATGAAGCACCCGTTGAAGCATAAAGATTCTTTGCAGGTTCAAATGTACAGGTGTCACGATTGCGATTATGAAACTAAATATAAGCGTTATATCAAACGACACCAAATGAAACATAAAGATCCTTCACAGGTTCAGATGTACAGGTGTAACGATTGCGATTATGAAAGTAAATACAAGAATAATATTAAACTGCATCAAAGGAAACATAAAAATCCTTCGCAGATTCAAATGTACAGTTGTAATGACTGCGAATACAAAACTAAGTACAAGAATTCTTTCAAAAGGCATCAACTGAAACATGAAGATCCTTCTCAGGTTCAAATGTACAGGTGTAACGATTGCGATTTTGAAACTAAATATAAGTATTATATCAAACGGCATCAACTGAAACATGAAGATCCTTCTCAGGTTCAAATGTACAGGTGTAATGACTGCGATTACGAAACTGTATACAAGGATTATATCAAACAGCACCAAGTCAAACATAGAGATCCTTCGCAGGTTCAAATGTGTAGGTGTCACGATTGCGATTATGAAACTAAATACAAGAATGCTTTCAAACTGCATCAACTGAAACATAAAGATCCTTCTCAGGTTCAAATGTACAGGTGTAACGATTGCGATTATGAAACTAAATACAAGAATTCTTTCAAACTGCATCAACTGAAACATGAAGATCCTTCTCAGGTTCAAATGTACAGGTGTAATGACTGCGATTTCGAAACTAAATACGAGAATCATTAAGGAAAATTAGCAGAACGAACAACAGTCAGGTAATTTCAACAAATGCAGAAAAACTAGTCATAATAAACTAGGGCATTGTAAATTTCTCAAGTATATTATTGTTTGATGACAATTTGAAGCAAATGTGCGAACGTGTGCATTTTCTTCGTGATTTTTATAAAAGTAATCCCACTGAAGCAAATAGGACCATCTGTAATAACTACCGTTATCTATGCCGTAAGAAAATATCAGAATCTACGGTAAAGTTTAATGATAATTTGATAATTTTGTGAGGAGTCATGATGATCCGCAAAAAGCAATGTGGAACATTATAAATAGTCTTAATATTGAACCTAGCCCTACGTTTTCCACTGTTACAGACGAAGAATTTAACAGCTTCTCTGTCGATATAGCCGATAATACCTTAATTAATTTAAGTACTTGTAATCTGCAATTTACGGAATACCTGCATTGTAGGGATGGAGAAAATAAGTTTCAATTTATGGAGGTAACTCCCTGGGAAGTAGCCAATGTTATTATGACTTTAAAAAATAAAAAATGTGAAAGTGTTTATAACCTAAATACGCAAATAGTGAGAAAGTATAATGAATTCAATACTAATTCCAATTACCAACTTAATTAACCTTAGTATCAAGTCGACTATTTTTCCAGACTCTAAAAATTGCTAGAGTAGTACCGCTATATGAAAAGAATAATGTAAATGATCCTTCCAATTTTAGACCCATCTCCATAATTCCATATTTTGCAAAAATTTATGAGTCTATATATTTAAAATACAAATTACCAATTATTTTGACACCCATGGTATTGTGAATTCAATTCAGTGTGGTTTTCACAATCGCTGCTCTACCACATTGGCTATAAACAAACTTGTTTCCTATATTAATGAAGGTTTTGAAGATGATGAATATATAGCTACACAGTTCTTAAACTTGACAAAAGCATTTGATTGTGGATCTTAAAATATTCTTGTTAAAAAGCTACAATTTTAAGGGTTTACCGAGGACAGTATACAGATGTTGAGTTCTTACTTGACATATAGGCGGCAGTTTGTGAGTTACAATAATGTAAAATCCTATTTGAAAACTGTTAAACACGGAGTACCCCAGGGATCAATACTGGGGCCCATACAATTTTTAACCTATATTAATGACCTACTTAATTCGTTGGATAACGATGTTCTGGGAATTTTATTTACTGATGACACATGTCTGTCATTAAGAAATAAAATACTTTTAGATTTAATTAATACAATCTTACAAGTGATTTTAGCCATATTTAACTTATTGTTCTTTCATAACTGTGTTACTTTTATATTATTTCTGTATGTATTTTAATTTGTATATTTTTATCTCATTTTAAACCTTTCACTTGTATTATCGTACGCTCCCTATATGATATTGTTACATTGATATTTTACTTTTGTCTGTATACTATTATGTTCTGTTTTATACACTCTTACATGTTTTCCAATAATTATTTTATATTAATATGATGTATTTCCTGGTTTCGACTTGTGTAAACACTTTATGTAATAACAATAATAGTTATAAATAAGTTATAAATAAATAGTAAAAAAGTGACGCTATGTCCAACGTTTATAAAGTTACAAACAACAACAAAATATATCAAAACGTAATTTTGTTGTGGCCCCCACATGGACGCAATACATATAAAAGCGAAAGTATCAATATTAGATAAACCTTTTTTACCAAACAACATTGCCGTCATTTTTTATTGCTAGTCCAGGCAATAATTTCTCTTTGCTACGTACTACGTACCTAAAATAATAAAAAATGGAAGATAAAATACAAAAATAAATAAATAAAATACAATTTAATTATTTAAATTCGATGGGTTCAAATCTGGACAACCTGGAAGCCGCGCAATAAGGTTTTTAAATTCTATTCTATTTATATTCTTGGATATTATCCGTTTCACCACTGAAATTCATCACTTATTGGAATTCTTTTTATCTGATATTCTTGTTCTGAAAAGCTAAAAGTAAAAAAAATACAATTAAAAAAATTAGATTTTTTGACGCTCTTGTAACAGTTTCTTCTATTTATTTTACACTTCCAATACTATTTTATAATAACTCGATTGATCTGTGATCTGCTAAGAAATGTCTAAATATACATAATCCAAAATCAAATTCAAATTGGCGTAAAAGATCAAAATCGGCGCAGAATAATTTTTTAATAGTAAAATGTTTTCAAAGAGTGTAAAGTGGCCAAAAGATAAATATGAGATACTTTTCTCCTTGTACATAACCCTTAAGAAGAAGTTAGTCTGAATTGATAGAAAAATTAAACCAATAATAGAGAAGACATTAGAGGAATCACATAGTGGATTCAGAAAAGAAAGAAGTACGCTAGATCACATATTCACTATCAAGCAGATAATAGAGAAAACCAATGTGAAACAAAATAAAATATCTGGCATTTATTGATTTAGAAAAGGCTTTCGATAAGGTACCTCGGGAAAAAGTATGGGAAAGTTTAAATAAAAGAGGAGTAAATGAAAAGATAATACGAATAATAATGAATATACAGGGTGGTCCAGATTTAAATAGACAAACTTCGGGAAAGTACTAAACAACAAAAATTAACATCACTGCTCTATGAACATAGATTTTTTTAAAGACTTGGACAGAAAATCCATTGAAAATTGCGCATAAAAACGCCCCCCCCCCTTAATGATCGATGTCAGAATCAATTTATCAGTGGATAATGTGGTAAATTTGTCATATACTTTTGTAAATAAACTTATTATTATTTTTATTATCTTATTATTATAATAATATTTTTTGTAATTTGACTGTAAAACAATTGAAACATATGTTTGAATCTTGTACCTACCTTATTTTACCATTTTAAAAAATTTGTCGTCTGTATTTGTTAACTTTTAAAAATTTCTTAATATATATTTGAGAACTCAAAATTTATAACTTTTGCATTTCTCTTAATTGATCTGAAATATCTACATTCGATTTACATAGACTTCACAAAGAACAAATAAAATGGAGGGGGGGGGAAGTAACTATGGGAACGGGATTAAAACTCTAATAATGTTTTATTATAAGGCGTGGTGGTAATAGTTTAAATAACTAGGTGGATCTCACAGGGTCTAACGACACATACAGTGTACGATACTTCAATAAACATAAAAATCTAAATTAAAAATTTAGATAAATTTGGAACGAGTACATTGAGGAGGAATTTTTCGAGACAAAACGTTTGAATCTAGTTGGGGTCGAGGCAGAACAGTATTGGGGGTCATGAAGGCTTGCAAAAAATGTAATAAAATTTCCGTGATCGTATTTAAAAAATGAAGTTGACGGTGGTCCTGGAAAGACGAAACGTTACATATGTATAAAAATTGATTATGCCATTCGATAGAGGGCAAAAAGTTGCCATGAGAAAGTGTTCTTCTTCTTTCCATATCACCTCAAAAGAAGCTGAAATGAAACAAAATCGGATTTCCAAAATTTCGTTTTTTTTTTTCAAATATTTCGAAAACTAAATCATGTTAGCCTTGATTTTTTTAGAGACAATGTTGGTCCTCTGATTATGCAACTTTGCCCCAGTTTAAGCTAGCTCGTATCTGTTACCGTTTCCGAGATCATTGTAGTGAGAAGCGAATTTGTAACAGCCTGTATAATTAATAGGTTTTTTTTTGCAACAGTATTAAGAATAATAGAAGTTAAGCAAAATAGATGTGCATAATTTTTTTTATAAATTGAACTGTTGAGTACTGCTGTGGTATTTACACGTTGAGAGTTAAACTCATTCAAGGTGATTCGGTCATAATATCATTAATTCTATGGAAAGACGGGAAAAAATAAGTAGAATGTGAGAACACAATTAAAAACATTTTAAAATGCTTATTTATTCTGAAGAAAATACTTTCAAGTAATTATTTAAACCCCTTTTTTGAACCGCTCCTGACCGCTGACACTTAATAAAGGATTAGCGAGAAAATCTTGACCTATTCGGTCATTAATCTAGCTTTTAATGCGTTTTTAATCCGCAGTGAACTACAACGAATAAAGATATTTTTATACAGACGAGTTCATGAATAAGATGCTTTTTTACATTTTAAATATTAACAAGTATTTATATGTTAATAAAAACAAATGTATAAGGATAATAGTTATTTTCGAATGTCAGGTTGATACGCATATCTATATTTTTTTATTCGAGTGACCGAATAGTGGAGATAAGGTCTACTTATTAACATTCTTGCGCC